TCTCTCTCTCTCTCTCCTTCCCTCCCCCCTCTCTCCCCAACCCCACCCCTCCGCTCTGGGATGAAAACCAGGGTCTTACCAGGCATGCACTGTACCACTGAGCTACCCCTCCAGTCCTCAACTAAACAAGTATCTTTGCACAATTTAAAGATTGGAACTGAACTGGCAAGGGAGAGAGAAATGAGTTCATGCACAAATTTATTGTCTTGCCCTAGAGGCAAGACGCAGATGTGGGATGTAATTTGATAAAGGAATGGATAAAACTGCTTTTGCTAGGTGCCAAAATGGATAAAGCAAATACGGCGTACAATGAGGTGGGATATGGAGGGACCATCCAATCATAGAGTCAACATGTGTTTGCTGTGGTTTGAAGTCAGTCCTTGCCGGGCCAGCTGGATAATGCCTCCTGGGAGGCTTCTCAGATTGCCAACAGCCTTGTTAGAAAAAAAAAAAAAAAAAAAAAAAAAATCCTAGAAGTTTTGGGGGGATTTGGTTCCCTCTAGTGGTGTTATAAGGAAATGCAAATTTACTTTGTATATTTCTTTCTTTTTTTTTTCTTTTTTTAGTTTATTGGTACTTTTTAGGTATACAGTACAGTTACATTCATTATTGGGCTCTTGTACCTTTACATGACAGGTCTTGGTTCTCATTTTTCCCCTTGTCCCTGCCCTCCCTTCAGTCCCTCCTCCCCTCCCCATTTACAAACATTTTATTTCCATTTTTTTTATTTTCTCATATTTTTTCTTTTCCCTTATTACCTTTCCCCTACCCTTCCCACTTTCCCTACACCTTTAGCCCTTTTCTTCCTAATACACATTGTCAGTTATACCATGAGTACTATTATAGTTTTTCACACCAGAGAAACTATTCAGTATTTACACGTGTTACTTACTTATTTCACTTAGGAGTATATCCTCAATATGTATCCATTTTCCTATGAATGAATCTAATTTCTCATTGTTTATGGCTGAGTAGTACTCCATTTTATAGAAAAACCACATCTTCTTTATCCAGTCTCCAACTGATGGGCAAATGGGCTGTTTCCAGGTTTTAGCTATTACAAACTGTGCCACTATAAACATGGGTGTGCATATATCACTGTGGTATGATTCTTTTGGAAAGATTCCCAGCAGAGGGATGGCTGGGTCAGATGGAACCTCCAATCCCAGCTCTTTGAGGTATCTCCATATTGATTTCCATAGTAGCTGTACAAGTCTGCACTCCCACCAACAATGGAGAAGGGTTCCTTTCTCCCCACAACCCCGCCAACATTTGTTATTGTTTGATTTCTTGATAGCAGCCATTCTTTGTGGGGTGAGGTGGAATCTCAGTGTTGTTTTCATCTGCATTTCTTTTATGACCAGTGATGTGGAGCATTTTTTCATATATTTACTTGCTGCTTTTACTTCTTTGTCTGAGAAATGTCTGTTTATTTCAGATGCCCATTTTTGAATCGGGTCTTTATATTTGGGGGGGCTGACAAAGAAACAGACCTGAGGATCAGCAGAACAGACTGAAAGATACAAAAACAACCGCAGATGTACTCAGCTACCTCATCTTTGATAAAGGAGCCGACCATCCTCACTGGAGGCAAGATAGTCTCTTTAATAAATGGTGTTGGAAAAACTGGATTTCAACCTGCCAAAGATTAAAACTAGACCCTTATCTTTCACCATGCACTAACTAAAATTGAAGTGGATTAAAGATCTAAATATTAAAAAAAAATCACTAAACTTGCTGGAAGATAAGTTAGACAGAACTCTTGAAGACATTGGCATAGGAAAAGACTTTATGAACAAATCCTCAGTAGCACGGGAACTAGCAGAAAGAATCATCAAGTCTTATTATTATAATCTTAATAAAAAGCTTCTGTACTGCAAAAGAAACCATCACCAGAACTAAAAGACAACCTACAATGTGGGAAAACATCTTTACCAGCTTCTCCTCAGACAGAGGGTTCTTATCTAGAATATATAGAGAATTCTTTGTGTATTTCTATTTTTCTAATTTATTTATTTGGTCAACAAATCTATTGAGCACTTGCTGTATATTAGACTTCGTATTATGGATACGAAGATAAAAGACTCAACTTTGTTTATGAAGCGCACACAAGGCTAAGCACACTGATGAGACAAAACCTTCAAAGGAAGGTGTGAGTAAACTGATGCAGCCATCTAGTTCACTGCAGATCTCCTGTGCTCTGAGGGCCGAGGTCCA